AACATATAATTTGACTTGAGTTAGATTTACAATTGAATAAAAAAAGATGTTCAACTGATAAAATATAGATGGTCTAAATAAGTTGATAACAAGAATAAAATAATATTATTTTAATAAAAATAATTTATTAAGGTTGAACTAATGATTCATAGATTAACTCAATAATCTAATAACCAAAACTTTTTTTAGACTAATTCTGAAATTAGATTTAACAATTATAATTAAAAATTTAATTAGTTTTTTTTTTCATTTCAATACAAGTTTTGATAAGAATAAAGGTGTGAAGGTCATTTATTGTCTTTTATAGGCATGTGAAATCTTTTCATTTCAAAGAAAAAAATAAAAAAAACTAATTCTAAAATTAGATTTAACAATTATAATTAAAATTATAATTAGTTTTTTTTTTTCATTTCAATTCAAGTTTTGATAAGAATAAAGCTGTGAAGGTCATTTATTGTCTTTTAAAGGCATGTGAACTCTTTTCATTTCAAAGAAAAAAATAAAAAATGAAATTATTACTTGATGAATTAGTGAAATAACATTTGGGTTTTTTTATGGTTGTTTCTTCAAATGATGGTGATGAAGCGATAGGCTTGATTAAGTGACTCAATGTTCACTCGAAAACACAAACTCTTTGAAAAATAAAGAACTCTTTAATACTTAAATTGATATACATATAAGGATATAATAATGTCAAAGAAAAGAAAAATAAAATGAAAATTCAAGGGTGTGTATCATGGTTATTGTGTCATGAATATCAATGACGAAAATATTGATGATAAAAAATATGGAAAGAGTAGAAAAGCATTGAAAATTTTAATTTATGTTGAAAAAATTATTTACATAGAAAAAACTATATATATGAAAAATTTGTATGTGCAGCTCTTTAAAACCTAAAAATATTTATAAAAGAGTGTTGAGAGAAGATTAGATAAACCACAATTAAAGCCGATATTGGGCTTAAATCCCAATCATTTTGGGTTGGCCCAAACAGCTGAATTCATTTTATATATACACCAGGCTTAAATCCCAACATTTTGGGTTGGCCCAAACAGCTGAGTTCATTATATATATAAAATTTGTGCATTATCATTTCTATTAGTATTTAACGAATTCATGGCTCGAACACGTGGAAAGAGTAGTTCTTGTCTTTTGTATGTTTTCTTTCCTTCATTGCACAGTGAGTGGGATGGGCCCTTGTGCTCCAAGCCTATTGGACTGTAGGCCTTTTAATATATGAAAAAGAAGTGCTGAGAATTGTGACTGTCCTATCTCTTAGAAAGCCCATGACAATTAGAAAGCCCACAACATATTTTCTTTCAGAGGGCACAAATTAAGTGACACTGAAACAAATATATATATATATATATTTTTTTTTTGAAGTGATAAATATCTCACACGAAAACAAATATCCGTGTTGAAAATGGGCATTCAAATTTGTAAAAAAATAATTTGAACGAGTCAAATAAGTTTGTTGGCAAAAATTGGTATAGTTTTTAATATGGTCATTAGATAGGGTTGATTAAGACTTGCTGGAATCATTTCTATGCTTAAATTAGACCTTGTTGTCATGAATTTTATTTATTTTTAAAAATTATTTTCCTTTTCTTGTTTAGTTTAGAATCTTAAAGCTAGATGTATTTTATAATAGCTATATGAACTTTAATTAGGATTTTCTTTTTCATTAAGGATTAGAATTTAGGTCTAGACTAGTACAAATACCATTAGATTTCACAATTTTATTAATAAAATTTTTTATTGGTATTCACACTTATATTTTAATCTTTGATTATTTTACTGACAGAATCATAGATGGAAAACATCCATTAAAAAAATAATTGTTGGTAAATTCTAATTTATCAAAAATTAATAAATATTTTTGTTGGTATTCAAACTAACATTTTTATCTTTAATTATTTTACTGACAGAATCATAGACAGAAAACATCCATTAAAAAATAATTGTTGATAAATTCTAATTTATCAAAAATTAATAAATTTAATAGTGGTTTTATAGATGTTTAGGCCGCAATCCCAAATACATGGAAAAAATATTCTATAATCACAAAGAAAGACAGAAAAAAAGAGGTTCAAATTTTGTAAATGATGCAGGAGAGCTTGTGTTGGCATATAAATTCCTAAAATTGTTAGAGAAATAATTTCTAAAATTTTAAGTATCTTGCTAATTGTTTCAAAATACCCATGGTTAGTGGGAATTATTCTCATGTAATGGGCATCAACTCTAAATAGATAAGCTAATTTATGGCATTAATTTTCTATTTGGTTTCTGTTAGCATGTAACTAAATTGTCCCAATCCATTTACATAATCTCAATTCCATGCAAGTAATTACCCACCTTTAATTTTATTTTGTATTTAATGAATTAAACTTTGCACATCCAATTTTATTTGTTATCTTAATTATTTTTACTTTATTAATGTTATTTTGAGGTTTTCTTTCTCCTTAGAATTTCTCCTTAGAATTAAATTGTCCCAATCCATTTACATAATCTCTCTTTCCTGTTAAGATTAAAAGTGACTTTCTCTCTTTCCTGTTTAGATTAAAGATTAAAGTGTAAAATATATAAAGTTTAAGACCGAAATTAAAAATAAAAGGGACCAAATATAAAGAGAAGTTAAAATTGAGAAACCCAAGTGTAGATTTATGCTCCTCTTTAATAGCAAACATATAAAAAAAGTTGTCAATTATTGTTTGTTTTTTTAATGCTCAACTTTTTATTAAGGAAGTGTTTTAGAATGCGGTATATATTTTTAAAATTTTTGATTGTTTTGTTTAAAATAAATTTTTTATATATATTTTTAGATTTTTTTAATATATTGATGGTCAAAATAATTTAAAAAAAAAATAAAAAAAATTATTTTAATATATTTTTAAATAAAAAATACTTTGACTCATCATTAAAATTCCAAACATGCTTGATCATGAAACAATTCTTGATGCTATAGACAGGCAAAAATATGATGGTACTGTTTTTTTAAAAATTTGATTTTTTTATTTAAATTTTTTATTGTTGTAAAATATTAATGTTAAAAATATTTTTTCTAATAAATATTATTTTAATATATTTAAGAAAAACACATTAAATAACAGCTTCACCGTACTCTCAAATACCCTCAAAATCTGAATAGAATGGGAAAGCTAGGACATCAACAAAAGAACTTTTAAGTTTCAAATAGATAGAAACTGCAGATGGCAGACCAAAATGAAGAAAAAATAAACTTGAGGGACAAAAAGAAAATTCACCAAGGTTATAGTACTCGTAAATAGTTATTTGTGAGAGAAATAACATTAGCTCCACGGTAAAATGTCGTTTTTTAGAAGAAATCATTTGTCTAATTTCTTAAAGATTTTATCCTTAACGAAGTCATTTATTTTATTTTATTATCATTGAGGGCGATTTTCTTTTCTATATAAAGGCTAGGTGAGTGTACTATAGAAATTTGATGAACTCATTCAAGGGGAGAAGGCTAACATATTTAAGATTTTTTTTGGAAGGTGGACTATTCTTTGAACCTTTTTTTTTTAAGATAAGGTTTAGAAAACTATATATATATATATATATATAGAGAGAGAGAGAGAGAGAGAGGAGTGCTGACCTAGATCCACACACCTAAAGCTTTATTTTTAAGATTCTTAGTCTATATTATTTAAAAAAACTGTAGCATTGGATTTCTTATAAATTGTTTTATAATTTTATTTTTTAATATTTATTTGATATTTATTTTTATTATATAATTAAAATAAAAAAATATTATTGAATTTATTGAAATTCATAACCCAAATTATAAGTTTGAAGAGTTAATATGAGTTGACTAAAATTAATTTAATATATTATTGTTTCAGTATTATAAAAAAAAGAAGTCAACTTTAATTTATTATTAAAAAGAATTAAACTATTTTTTAATGGTCGTTGAGGTTAACTTTAAACTTACATATCTAGTCTTGTTTTTTATATTAATTATTTTATTTATTTAATTATATCAAAATAATTTTTATATGATTTAACTAAAAAATTAAACTTGACAAAATATCAACTCAAGAGTTTTAAACTAAAAAATTAAATTTGACAAAATATCAACTCAAGAGTTTTAAAGTTTAAATTGATGGATAATATTTAATAACAATATCAAAAACTTTCTCATAACTTATAAATTTTTTTTCTTTTTATATTCAAAATCTTTTTAGTCTAACTTCCAATACAGTCCCTTAAGTAAACTAGTTATTACACTAATTTTATTATCATCACATCACATGTATATCAAGATAAAAATCTAAAATCTTTTCAAATATAAATTATGATTTAGTATAGAGATGTAAATGTGATAATAATTGTAAACTCAAACTCAAATTCAAACTCTCAATCTCATGAAGGTGCGTTTTATAATGTAATTCACTTATCAAACATCAACATATTGTCCATTCATGCAATTAATGGAACTCAATAATGGCTGTTTTTCTTAGAGTGCAAAGATCAAGTTTTAAAAAACAGCTTAAACTATATGTCTGATCAAGCTGTTGGACACCGATAATTTTATATTTATTCTACCATAAATAAAATATTTCACTTAGTCATATATATATATATATATATATATATATATATATATATATATATATATAAACACTAGACGGTTAGAATTGGTGAAGATTAGTAGAATTAAATGGAAAGGGCACCTTCATTATCAAATAATTAATGAAATTCCTTTCGAGAGATTTCATAAACTGTTGAGAGATTGACTAACTATTGCCAATTTCTGCCTCAATCTCATACATGTTCATTATACCTAGAAATAAATCAGACAACCTACTCCCAATGACACGAAATTAAGGTGAATGAATTCAGATTAGACACCATTATACTTGGTTCCTTGAATTCTCCTTGTTTCAAAAGTCAACTAAACAGACAGAGAGAATTAGAAAAACGCGTCCAGTTGACCTTGCTGTCTTGCATACCACCTTCCTTCCCACGTCAGTCAAGCACACAATATTCTGTGTCAGTTATCTTTCAAAAGTCTTCTTAATCGCCTTCATCAGGCAATCAAGCAGGTAACACCTCTTCATCCCTCTCCTAACATCCTTGCAGAATCAAAGAAGAGGCGCAGAGATGGGGAAGCTGAACCATGATCCATACATCAACCACTTTAGCCATCCTCATCCCTTGGAGCTGTCCAACGCTCAATCTCTTTACATGAACTCATGCTCTGCCTGTAATCTCCAACCATCTGGATGGATGTATTCTTGTAAGCCATGTAACTTCACTCTCCACATCTCATGCACCCAGATGCCAACTTTAATAACCCACCCTTCCCACCCCATCCACCCTTTAACCCTCTTCTCTACTCCGGTTTACCCTGGTGGCTCGTTCAAATGTGATGGCTGTGGCCTCCAAGGAAATGGATTTAACTACCATTGCACCACCTGTGATTTTGATGTGCACATGATGTGTGCTACAAATCCACTATCACTCGCTCACCGATCCCATCCTCACCAGCTCAACCTTGCCTTTTACCCCCCTTACCAAACCAAAGGTTTCTCTTGCGACATTTGTCACCAGATAGGGTCTAACCATTGGCTTTATCGATGTAGTGCTTGTGAGTTTGATGCGCATATGAAGTGTGCAATGAGTGTTAATAATACAACTTTGCCTCATATTCAGCACAGCAACTCTTTGCCAGTAGCCAACAGTGTCAATATTCAATACCAGCAGCAGCCTGGACTTGGAGGAGCTAATTATGTTTACAGGCACAGCCAAAGCATGGGGACTATGCCTATGCAGCAGCAGCAGCAGCTGCAGCAGGTTAGCTATCAACAGCCAAGTGGGTGCAGCAGCAACAGCAGCAGCTGCAGCAGGTTAGCTATCAACAGCCAAGTGGGGGGCCTAATGGGGCAGCAAACGGCACCATAATGGATACAATGGTTCAAGGGTTTGTAGATGCGGCCGCACAACAGATTGGTCAAACGTTTGCGCAAAGCATCATGAATCCTGATGGCAGCAACAATAGTGATCCTAATGATGGTGGTGGTGGTGGTGGTGGTGATAATTCTTCCAATCCTTCTATAATCAGTGTCGGATCTTCCATTTTGAGTGGTGTGTTTGGCGGTGACCCTGATAATTCATAGAATCAAGAGATTTGATGGATTTTGAAGATCATGAAATCAAAGGAAAAAAAATATCATATATGGATCCAAGTTATTGGTGTCATAGGATTTGGTGACTTGCTGCTTGTCATTTGATCCAGTGTTGTTAACTTGTTACTCTCCTCTTAAAAGTAAGGGGAAAGATTTCAGTCGTGTTCTTATTACCAGTGAAGAAATAAATAATAAAAAATATACAGCCCTGGTTATGTATTAATATATAAACGCATCTTCTTTTTGCAATTTTGTATGGTTTAATTTATAAATTTGATAATAAATATATAGCCCTGGAAGTACATTTGATGGGCTTATTTTCTGGGCTCAGCTAGGTCCTAGGAAATACCAACCACTTCGAACATGAAAATATAAATGGGCTGAAACATCTTCGCACCCTGAGCCCATGGTCATAGAAGGAAAACATCTTGGAAAGTTTATGGCATTTCATTATCGTATATTATCATATATGTTTAAATATAGTGAAACATCTACTCCCTTTTTTTTTTCTTCAGTTTTTTCATTTTAAATTTTACCTTTCAAACTTATTTCTTTCTATTTCATTCTTTAATATTTTATTATTAATTTTAAAATAATTATTTTAATTTATTTTAATTTTCTTTACATAAAGTTACTATAGTTTTAGATAAATATTTTGATATTTAATTATTTTTTATTTTTTATGAGTATTTATTTTTATTATCATATCATCTAATGAAGTATGTAGTTGGGGTTATGATTTTTGCGAATTAAGCTACAAAGCTTAGGTCCATCAAAAATATCTTCATTTTAATATTTTAAAAAAAAAGAATTATCTTAAAAAGATTTTTAAAATTAAACTATATTTTTATTGGTAATTTTAGGTTGGTTATGGACACACCACCCAACTGGATCCCATATAAACAACTTTTATACAAGTTAATTTTAAATTAGGTTGGACAAAAAATTAAAAATTAAGTTGAGAGATTTAAAAATTGATTTATTGAATCTGATTTAATAATAATGTTAAATAGTTTTAAAAAAATTATGCATATAATCAACTTTTTTTTATAACCATACTTTTATGCGTATAATCAACTTTTATGTAGGTTAATTTTAAACTAGGTTGGATAAAAAATTAAGTTGGAAGATTTAAGGATTGATCTATTGAATATGATTTAATAATAATGTCAAATAGTTTTTTTTAAAAACATTATGTATTTTAACTTTTTTCTTTTAATTGAATCCTTTTTTGCTCTTTTTTTTTATTAGTTTTATCATTTAATATTTAATTGATTTTTTTATTGGTTTTTATAATTTATTTTAGTTTGTATTTTATGAGGTTATCATAGTGTTAAATAATACAATATGGTTGATACTTATCTTTGCAAGTATTTATTTTTATTATTATATTATTAAGTAAATCTTAATCATGGTTTTGATAAGTTAAGTAATGAAGTTCGGGTCGATCTAATATATCATCGTTTTATTTAAAAAAGTAATATTATTTTAAAAAAATAACTTAAATTTTTATCCGGATTTTTTTTAAAAAAATCTGTGAAGTAGATTTGATTGTGAAATAGCAATTCTAACATAGCCAAACAATTGAGAAAATTTAAAATAGACTCCCTTTTTTTTTAAAGTTTTTTCGTGTCAAATTTTACCTTTCAAACTTATTTCATTCTTTAATATTTTATTATTAATTTTAAAATAATTATTATAATTTATTTTGATTTTCGTTACCGTAATTTTATTTTGATATTTAGTTATTGTTTATTTTTTTACAAGTATTTATTTTTATTATCATATCATCCAATGAAGTACGTGATTGGGGTTATAAGTTTTGCGAGTTAAGCCGCAAAGCTTAGGTTCATCCAAAATATTTCTATTTCAATATTAAAAAAAAAATTATCTTGAAAAGATTTTTAAAATCAAACCATGCTTTTACTGTTAATTTGGGTTGTTTATGGACGCACCAAGCCAACTGAATCCCATATAATCAACTTTTATTCATGTTAATTTTAAACTTGGTTAAATAAACAGTTGAGTTGGGAGATTTAAGAATTAATTTATTGAATCTGGTTTAATAATAATATCAAATAGTTTTTTTTAAAAAAAAATTCTATCTTTCATTTTTTTTTTAATTGAATCCTTTTTTGCTTCTTTTTTTTTGTTAGTTTTACATTCAATATTTGATTGATTTTTTTATTGATCTTTATAATTTGTTTCAGTTTACATTTTATAAGGTTATCACAGTCTTAAATAAAGTAAATTTCAATCATGGTTTTAATCATAGTTTTGATAGGTTAAGTAATAAAGTTCAGGTTAATCTAATATATTACTGTTTTTTTTTTTAAATAATATTATCTTGAAAAATTATCTTAAATTCTTTTAAAATCAAATCATTTTTTCACCGTCTATCCAAAATTATTTTTAAACATGTGAAGTTGAATTGATTGTAATAGCAATTCTAACGTATCCAAACAATTGAGAAAATTTAAAATAGACTTGCCGGGATAAGTTCAATAACAATACAAAATAAATCATGGGAGCCTGGACATTTCTGTTCTAGATTCAAGAATTCTTTTACCCAAGCCGCACAGTAATGGTGGCCTGGTGACCAGGATGCTCGGTTAATCCGAGGCACAGAGAAAGAGGTCCAAAAAGTGCAAATAATAAAGCAAAAGTGCAGCTTAAAGGTACTTTAATATTTTTATTATTTTATTGCCAGGCAGCATGCGGTGGCACCCCATATGTGAAGCTACTTGTGGCCATAAATTAATCACTTCACCGACAGGGATGGTAACCAAAATCCCTAATCATGATTAATTAGGATAATTCACATGTGATTGCCTGCACACCACACACGGGTTCCTCCTCATTAGTGGCTGCCAGCGAGGCATGATTAATTAAATGACCACACCTCACTCTGGATATTCATGGCTTGATTCTGCTTTAAGCTCAACCACAAATCAAAATACCATTCTTAAAGAAGGATCCACCACCACTTTCTATTTTAATGTCCCTTTTTCTTTCCTTTCGTGCCTGATATGAATTAGGACAGGGATTATAGTTAAAATTATTTTTTTATTTTTTAAAATTATTTTTCATATCAATATATATTAAAAAAAATTAAACCTTTTCGAAGGATACACACATTTTCCTATTCGCTCTTCTATTTGCGTTTTAGAATTGTTTTGAAAAAAATAAATAAATAAATAATTTTTTTATTTTAAATTAATTCTTTGATAAATTAAAAAATAAAAATAAAATATTATTTTTAAATAAAAAATATTTTTAAAAAATAATCAGTACCATATCACCGCACGGATTGAGTCTTTCTTGACCAAGATTAGTGTATGCGTATCATATCACTGCACGGATGAAGTCTTTTTTTTTTAGATTAATGTGGGTGTCCGGGCCAGTTTGCGTGCACCACGACTAATTCCACAGATCCTGAAGTTAACGATCATGTAAGTCTTCGGTGCTTATTATATGAGCAATTAAGGACTCGAATTTAAAATTACAAAGAAAACAAATTTTTTAATTCCAAGTTTTTATTATTTGAAAGATGTTTGGATGTTTGGAGGGAGTCTTTCTTGACCAAGATTAGTGTATGCCACTGCTGTGAAAGCAAACTTTCCCCGACTGGAGATAAAACAAACGATTCATTCCATCAATCAAGAATCCGACAAGTGGCTGTAATAAGACTCAAACAGACAAACCAATAAAAAAATAACACGATGGGAGTTAATCCTATCTTTTATTTCATGAAGCATGCACGGTGCGCAATTGCAGCAAACTAGCAGGTGGATGCGCGATATTTATTTATTATATTTTGTTTATATAGATATAACTCATCAATTTAAAATTATAAAGAAATACATTTTTAAGATTTATCTTTGTGGTGATTAAAATAAATATTTGTAATAACTTTGATGATATAAGTTTGGGGATGAAAATGTATTTTTCCTTTATAAAATCCTTTTCATCATTAATGAACTTTTAATTTTAGCAAAAAATAATTTTTTTATCTAAAAAAAATAAATATCTATCAAACTTCAAATGATTTAAATTTAGTAAGATAAAAATTATATTTTTTAGCCAAAACTTACCTTCTGCTATTCCTTAATTTCTCTTTAATTTTAAAAAATATATTTTTAAATAATTTATTTGTTTTACACCTTTCAACTTGTAATAACTTTAGAAAGAATACATTATTTTCAAAGGTTTTACCGACCTAATAAAAAATTAGAAAAAAATTATATGTAAAATTTAATACTACCAAAAGTAGGTTTCGAAGTATATTTGAAAATCAATAATATTTTATATTAATGTCCTACTTTAATTTATTTATAAATATAGTTGTGATTGTTTTTTAAAGTGTTTTTTATATTAAAATACATTAAAATAATTTTTTTATTTTTTAAAAATTATTTTTAAAATCAACACATCAAAAAAATTCAAAACATAAAAAAAAATTAAAAAAAACACAATTTACATCACATTTATAAAAAATATCTCGCCTATATAAAACAAAATACAAGAACAGGATGTAGAAATAAGAATTTATGTTCACTGGGAATTTGTTTAAAATCTAAAAAGACAAAGTGACATCTGTTGTCCTTGTTCAGCAATTGTCAAAACTACATTGGCCGTTCATGAAAGCTGTATTGCTTATTTTTAGAAGTTGCATGTCATTCTAAATTTTGAGTATTTAAAGCACCCGACTTTTTATATTGAATATTTTAGTGATACGAGATATCCTATCTAGTTTACAGCGGACATACCATATTGGAGCCCTGCTGTTCGTCGCGGGCCTAGTTGATTTTTCTGTAACATGAAGAAATGATACTCCAGCGCTGTAAAAATGTTTTAAAAAAGAAAAGAAATCCATGTTCATTCAATATATGTTGGGGAAAAAACCGACAATAAGTGACCAGATCTTAAAAGAAAAGGTAAGAAAAAGAATGCTGGTCAAGAAAAGAGAAGCACTAAGATAAATATCAAGATAATAAAATAAAATTATAAATTATAAATAATAAAAAAATTATTTGATTCAATTCAAGCTAGTATATCAAACTTAAAATCAGAGTTATGAGATTGGATTAAACTTATAAAAAATAAATTTAAAAAACATAAATTTAGATAAGATTGTCAAAACTCACAAACCAAACCATACAAATAAAATAACTTAATAGAAAGTAAAATAAGAAAAAATACAGAATTTTAATTTTTAAAAAAATCTAATT